TCATCCTACTTCCATGTGGATGTCAGTTCCCAGTAGCCAGGTTTTGGATTTAGAGTAGGACCAATCAACATAAGTCCTCACACATGTATTACAGATGTCTATATTCCTCGATCATTTCTACTCCATCATTGTAGTGGCTCACAATGGAGGTATTGAGAATTTTTATGGTTCTTTCCCTTCTGCTATACCTCGATGTTTCTTATTCTTAGGATGTTAATGTGCTTGGTGTGGTTCCATTCAATTTCAATTTTGAGGGAGATAGATAACATTATGTAGACATCTTTTCAATACTGGATGTCGTGTTCCTGGATCGATCTATCAATTTATCATATTCACATGTGCCCTGTTCATGAGTCAGGGGGTACTAGATTCCTTCCGGTCTCATGAACTTGAGGTGAAGATGGTATGATCCTCTTTCTTACCCCTGCCAGATGGCAGATTTTTGGATTGTAGTTGACTTGCCACTGGTATGATCCTCTTTCCTACCCCCACATGGATGTCAGTTTCTGGTGGCCTGGGTTTTGGATTGTAGTTGACTTGCCTGTGATATGATCCTTTTTCTTACCCCACCTAGATGTCAGTACCTGGTGGCTGGGTTTTGGATTGTAGTTGACTTACCGATGGTATGATCTTCATTCTACCCCCACATGGATGTCAGTACCCAGTGGCATGGGTTTTGAATGTAGTTGACTTGCTGTGTACGGCTCGTTGTGCCTTAGCCACTCTACACCTAGGGGCACATCCTTTTCATTTTATGCACTTTCTGGAGTTGAGTTTCATAAATATTGCATGGTTTGGAACACATTCTGGTCATAGTTCTCTCCCAGTTGGATATGCTCCTCTGTTTCCCGTCCATATATGCCACATCTTTTTACGATGGGCACAGAGTATATCTGATTCAGAAGTGGTGCAGTTCCCCACATCATATCTTAATATCTGACTCTCTCTCATCTTAGGGAGCAGATGCTTCTTTCTTTCTTTCCCTTGCACCAGTCCCTCTCCTTATTTAATGTGGGATTCTAGCTATTTATGTTAGAGGAGGTAATATACCATATCAGTAGCTATAATTTTCCTACACTGAAAATATATAAATGTATTTCTGAAAGGTACTTACCCCATATCACACTTCCCACCCTTCCTCCCCACTGAAAACTGATGCATCCATCTTCTGCCTAAACTTGAAGGGATAGTTTGGTAGAATTGAATAGAGGGAGTCACATGCATCATGAGAGTATGTTGTACTCTTATTGATGGAGGGTTGACACATGATGATTTGCATGAGAAACACTTTGAAATCAGTCAATTCCAATAGAGGAGAGATAGAAAACTTGTGGTATGCGTAAAAAATTTTCCATATATAGGGCAGCACTAAACAAGAATAACTATTTATGTGAGAGGAGGTAAGTAACTGTCAGACAATATAGTTTCAGTGCAGGAAAAATTATAACTTTTTGGAGTCTATATAAACTTGTCATAGAACAGGGAAACTCCCTGACATAAAATTGAGGACTTTGAGATATTGTGTTAATTTAGTAATGTTGTTTGATAGGTATTCTATAATATTACTATAAAACTGGAAAATGCATTATAACACATTGATAAAGAAATTACTCATTAGGCTTCATATGGAATGTTATAGGTAAGTGTAGCCATATGGTACCAGATACTTCTAAAGCCTGGCTTCCATGCATTAGTATTGCTAAGCAAAAAAGGGGAGAAAATATATATGTGTATATATATAACATATAAATATGAAAACACAAAGACAGAAAAATAATGTAGGTCTCATTCAGCAGTTTGAATACACCATCTATCAGATTTAACTACTTACAAACTTTATATGTGAATTAAACATTATAACTATAAAACGTAGGAGCAGACATAGATGCTCAGTCCACAATGTCTTACCTCAAAACTACCATTCACTACTTGCAGTTAGTTGTCAGAAGGTTGTTTCTTTTAATAAAAGCAAGAAAGGAGAGATGAGAAATATAAAATATAACTTATCTTCTGGAATAGGCATTCCTGCCTTCATAATAGTCACACACCTGTATTAACAATATAATAGCAGTAAATATTGAACTAGAGTAGATAAACATACATATAGATATATATATACGAACACACACATTTGCTGATGCATAATTTTATGCATTTGATGTTATTTCAGTGGCTCAATATCTTCAAAAGAAACTGGCAGAAAGTGAGAGTATTGCTGAATTCCCAGCTGAATGGGTTAGTGTATTTGATTAAATAATGTGTATTATTTGTGGAATGTACTTATACTTATATTTCAAAAAATAAGTTTAATACATACAAATATGTATATTTATGCTTAATATATTAATCTTTCTGCAGATTTAACTATCATTTTCTCATTTATGTAATGTGTTATTGTCTTAATAATCCTTTTATCTGTTTTAACTTGTTTTGGAATTGCTAGTTCCACAAGTACCTTAGGGTGTATATACAAGACTTCTTGAGAATCAATTGAATATATATAATTATAGTTTTCTTTTGGTACCATTTGTCTTTAATTGCTATAAATTCTCTCGATCAGCTGAATCCTGGTGTATCATACATCTTCAGTGTCTCAGTGGAAAACAAATTTGGCAAAAAAAGTCAATTGCAAAGACTGGAATTAACTCGCACACAGGAACCCAAACCTTTTGTTGGTATCTTAGGGCCTTGTGCAGTAGATCCGTCACAGCTTAATGTGTATGAAGCTGATGTTCAAGACTGTGGTACTTCAACACTTTTAAATAAGAGAATTGTGGTATGTTAACTGAATATAAAAATGAGTCTTTGTACATGAAAGAAATTCTAAAATGAGCTTTAATTTTCTTGCTTCATCTAGTTTCTTGAAATTTGATATTATCTGTGATTTACTTTAGATGGCTGCAAGTGAAGTAAGAGTCAGTATTGACCAATGTGTTTGTTTTTACTCTGATATAATCTATGTACTACATTATTAAAATGCATGGAGTTTTATGCATGGAAGAACTCTTCCTTGTTTTGAAATAAGTGAAGATTCATATCAAGTGTGTAAAATTCTATATGCAAATCTTATTGAACTTTTACAGCCATTGAACTTAATTTAAGGTTTTAATAATCTGTTGAAATAACGATATTGATTAAGTAAATTCTGAATTAAAGTGTTCAGAATTCATCAAATTACTGGAATTGATAAAAATATTGATTTAATATATTTAGATTGTAATGATTTCATGATTTATATAAAAAAGAACAAACCTCAAAAGAACAGTGATACATTTGTTCAGAATCTACTGATTTAATAGTTGAAAAATACTAAATTTGTGTATTTAAAATTCTTTCAAGTATGAATCGATATATACATTGCCTAGCTAGCTATAGTGATATAGAAAGTTTTAATGCTACAAAAGTATTGAAACAAGAAAGTCAAGACTATGAAAACTAAGTTTCTTGAATTTTTTTTACATTTTAAGTAACTCAGTTTATTTAGTTTTTACTTTCTTATTTCAATATTTTTTGTACCATTAAAATGCTTGTTTGTTTCCTTTTGATTAGCAATACCAAGTGTGAAGCATGTGTATACGTGATTCAATTTTTACTCATCAGGATCCCTACCCAACCTACCCTCAAATCTAATTATCTACCCAAAGTTGTGCATTGTACATTTCATATATACATATACACATTAGTATTCTTTTTGGCACAAGAAAGGAATTATTGGACCCCAGACATAGGAGTTCTGTGAAAGAAGTAGAGCAATAAGGTTCATAATTATTTTTGTATGCTTGTCTGGAAAAATCACTTATTTACTTAGATGAAAATTTATTCGAATACTGAAATTTTGATTCACTCCATAAACACATACCTAGCGATTTTAGCAGCTTTACAAGTACAGTGAGGTTTAGTTTTGTTTAGCTATTTATAATATTTAGATATTTTAAAGATGGTTTTAAATGGGGATTTTTATGGCTGCCGTTTTTGTTTCATGATGATCCCTACATTTAAGTACTACCATGCTTAATGATAAAACTGAAGATTTAGTGGGATCTACAACCCATATGTATATATTTATTAAATATTTTTGCTCCATTTATGTGCCAAAAACAATCACAGAAATTAAACAGATGTCTTTTATACGTAAAAGATAAAACTCTTGAAGTATTTATTAATTCATAATGTCAACAGTGAAGATATTAAAATAAATATTCTGAGCATTCTTACCTTTATTAATACTTTCTTGTATAGTTTGCACTATATGGTCAAGATCTTGGTGACTACTAGTACTTGCTGCTTGATTTAGCACAACCTCAGTACTTTCTCTGGCACAAAGAGCACCACCACTGCATGCAGCAAGAGAAATGAGGAGCCGATCACTTTTCTCCCCACTTCCTAGAGAAACAAAAGGAAAATAATTATTAAAAGAAGGGCTTATCTTGATTCTCAATAACTACTGATTTCTACATTCATATGTGTATAATCAGCATCACTGTTCAAAATCCAATGTATGGATTTGGAAGTAATTGTTATAACATATTTCATGTACTTACCACAGGGCAGATGAAGGTTTTTCAGGTCTAGCTGAACACCTGGAGTCAAGTAAATAGTAGTAGCACCAGATGAAAAGTGAAAGACAATAAAATATGAATCTGAAGTATAATATTTCTGATTCCAGATGACTTTTCCTTTTATATTAAATGGTGTTAACAAACAGTTCCCTTCAGAAGGTGTAACCTGAAATAATAAGCAATATTATTTGCTTTAATATGTAAAATAACAACTGCATGGACAAAATCTCCGTGTTATTTATCACCATGGATTATTACCCTGAAAAATGCAAACTTTCTAGTCCAAAACATTATGCTTTTTTGGTTACAGACTACATAACTGTAAAGTTTTCAACAAAAATAGTTTAGCTAATAATCTTACCAATCAAAAATAAAAAGCATTACCACAAAAATCACCTACCTCAAAAGACACTATTCTTGGTTTATTCACTGATCCTTTGAAGTGAATAGAGTGTGATGATAAAGATACATTTGTTGAAGGATACTCTACTAGCAATTCTATAGAAACGTTTAAATAAATATTACCGATGTATTCTGATGTAAGAGATATAGGTTTTGCTCTTGATAATCCCTTAAACATGAAAGTTTCTGAAGTTTCACTGTCTTCAGTTATTTGATATTTAGCATCTGAAAAGAAAATAAACAATTGTGAACTCACTGTATCACTAAATCTAATTGAGAAAGATTTGATTACACTGGGCAACAATAAAAATTTCTCTTCTACTAGAAGAAAATGCAACTGTTTCTAAGTAATTTGATGATGCTTTTAATTTTCAAGTTATGATAGATTTATTCAAAATATTCTTTTCTTTAATAACTTTATTCATCCATTGAAAATTGCATTTAAGAATATTCAAAAACAATACATAATAGTAATGAAGCAATTAAATATTTCTGATGAAATTTTTGCAATTGAATCAAGATAGTTAATAATAAAAAAGTTTAAGAATAAAGTTATAACAATTTTTCGAGTTTTAAGTGAACATGTACATGGAGAAAGGGCGTAAGTAAAGATGCCTGTATTACGAAATGAGGCTGAGAATAAGAAAGTTCAACTAGCTAGGTCAGTAGCATAGAAAGTTACATAAAGATATTGCCTAGCAACGAAGTAAGTGCAATAAGAAAGTTACGAAAAAGTCGTTATTAACAAGCAAAAGTGGTGCTTTGATGTGATATCTTTTACAAGACACTGGTGTATTAGAACAAGTAGAAAGGCAACCAGCTAACTCAATATAACAGTAACCAATCACTTGAGAGTTTTGATTATGGTTCTGGGTTAGCCCGGGAACTTGCACAGATCAACCAAGAAAGTGGTAGGACTACTTGCGAGTAGTTCTGGATACTGTTTGGAAGGTCAAGAGAATACCAAGAAAATATGGTTCAAAAACCCCTGTCTAAAACCAAAAAATCAGTTCTCCTCCAAGTTCTTGAAGTGTTATCAAGTACCCAAACTCTACTGTTCATGACCATGGCTATGAAAGTCCCAAACTTCTGCAAGTTTACCAGTCCAGCTCTGTTGTAAGTATAGATTTATGGTTTCTCTCTTAATCAGTTAATGTAAGTAATCTTAAAGGAATATTCATGTTTAACTAAGAGAAGTGTACCTATGTGTATTAATGGATAGTCTAAATTAATGGTATTTGAAAAGTGTATAACGATTAACAGACTTTTGATTTATATTGGATGTTATTTGGAAATGGTTAATAAATGTTATAATTTGATCAATGTTGGTCTGGGACTCTGATTCTTTATTCTAACCATAAATTACCTCGAGTTAGCGACTTGTGAGCTCCACTCGCCACTGCAAATCCTCCACTAAATAAAATTGGTGTGACTGGCAGTATAATTGAAACTCCAACAATTAAATCCATGAAGGCACTGCCCGTTGCAGTAATACCAGTTTCAAAAACAATGAGTATAATAATATTATATATTGAAAATACACAGAGGTTATGTTCAGAACTTTCATCATGGTATTTTTTGTCACAAAATATCTGCATGACTTGTTGCGGCTTTCATATATGTTTTCAGTTTCATGCTAGAAGAACCAACGGTAATCTCCCATCATAGCAGGATTCCAGTGTCCTTGATATTGCTTTTCCAATGTAGAAATATCTTGGTGGAAGCACTCACCATACTCATCACTCACTGCACCTAGATCATTTGAAAATAAGTCTACATGGGAGTGTAAGAAGTGCATATTTAGTGAAATCCTAGACCACATTTTTCTGTAGTTCTTGAGCATATCATCAATCATCACAGCATAATTTTCATTTCTGTGATTTCCTAAGAAATTTTTGACAACCAGTGTGAATTACAGGCAGCAAGCTCTTTCTGATTGAGTACTGTTTCAAAATCATCATCCATCAACACCTGCCAAATCTTTTGCCCAACAAAGACACCACCTTTCATTTTTGCTTCAATTTTTGGAAATTTGTCAGACAGATATCTGAAACCATTACCATATTTGTTCATTCCTTTTACAAAATTCTTCATGAGTCCCAATTTAATATGAAGTTGGGGCAGAAGCACATTTTGAAGATTCACTAAAGGTTGATATTTGATATTCTGTTTTCCTAGTATTTAATTTTCTCTCACTAGCCATTCCTTCTTTTTTAAATGATTTTTATCATCTCGGCTGTCCCAGAGACACAAAAAGCAACAATAATTGGTATACCCACTCTGAGGCCTTGCAGGATTGATATAACATTTAGATCACCAAATATATTCCACCTATGGTGATCATATTTGATGGTCTCAAGTATACTCTGTATGCTTTGATAAGTTTCTTTCAAGTTAACAGCATGAGCAACAGAAACTGATGACTTTGTGTTCCCATTGTGCAAAAGAACAGCTTTCAGACTAACTTTAGATGAGTTGATAAAAAGTTTCCATGGCGTGTAGTACCTAATTCTTCCATTAATGAATCAACAATTGTATGGAAACACAAAGTATCTTGTATGCTTTAGTGAAAAGCAAGACTTTGATGGCAACTTCCGTAATTTGATATTCTTGTTCCTGGAGCTAATAAATTCCATTGCTGTAAACAAGAGCCAAGAATTTCCCCATGCTGCCTTGATAGGGACAAGTCATGTCATCTTGTGTAATCAGATGAAGCAGTTTATACTGAGGTGCCACAGTAATAGAATTACTAGATGAAGATAATTCATTGTCTTCTTCACAGGATAACTTATCTGTTTCCCCATTCACTGGTGGATGTGACACTGGAAGACCATCTCCATGAGGTACTGGTCTCATTGCAGATGCAATATCTGGATATTTAATGTATTGTTTAGTTTTGCCTGAATATCCAGAAACATTAGTCAATTAGATTATCTTTGGGCTCACACCATATCATGGGAACTACAAATGGCATACTTGCTCACTTCTTATTCAGCCATTCTGTCAAGCCAGATGTGAAAACTGTATAATACATGTGTGGAATCCAATATTTTTCTTGGTTACCAATTTTACACCCAAAATAGTGGTAGTAGGCTACCTTTACTGTGTGTGTGTGATGTTTTTCCTTTGTGAAACTGTAATATATTTTCCACAAATGTAGCATAAACTGTTTGGTTGATTTTTGTGCACTTTCTGACTTTACATAAACTGGAGACAGCCAGCATTTCAAATGATTTTCTAAAAAATATAAAATTTATATTTACAGAACTAGAATTTGAAATATTTAAAAAAAAACAAAGTTTGCAGAATTTGATTATACCGTGGGTATGATGTGAGGAAGAAGATTAGACTTTGTTTTGACTGTGTGTGGAGCGATGTGAAGTGACCAACTGAGTGAGTGAAAAGCAACTGTGAGAAAGGCATCTGACTCTGACCCATTTATGCTCAGTCGAGGGATATAAGGGTTTCATGATTCCTGGGTGTAGCAGGTGAGCGTGGGAATGAAGCAAAAGTGGTGCAATTCACAACAATTATATTTGGAATTTTACCCCAACACAATACAATCAATGTTTGATGTTGTAAAGATGTATACTTTTTACTCATTAAACTGTCAAAGTAAACATAATTTCACAGCATAAATCTATTGTATTGAGTTGATTGCATAGTATTTCCCATAGTGCTGATAAAATATTGAGATATTGATATAACTCAAAATCTAGAGGTGATGACAAATTCTGACTATATTTTTTTTAAATCAGCACCATCAAATTACCCTGAATCACTTGAGTTTTCTCCAGGAGGAATTTGTTTGTTGTGTTGTCCAGTGTTGTTTAAGTAGTGAGTTAAGTACATTTACCAGTTTATAAAAAATTTGAGAAATATATATGAGAAATGTGTGGTTGTAAGTATAATATTGGCACACTTAATTCACTAATTCTTTATTTGAGTATTGTAATACTTTATTAAGCTTACAGCTTAAATTTATTGTAACAAAGAAACAAAAGCAACTGAAGTATTAATTGAGGTAAATTGAATAAAGCCCACAATAGTTATAATAACAATAATTTTCAATGAATAAAATCAAATTTCAATTATAATATAGTGTTCATACCTCAGTATTTAATAGAGCTACTACTTGCATTGTAGTCCAGCAAAAAGTACAACTAAATTATGAAAAGAAAGCAAAATACTTATATATAGATATAGTGTGTAAGTAAAGATGTCTCACACTTACCATTATGAAATGTCCATCGAACTAATGCATTCTGCTTTGAATCCAAATATGCTGGGATTTCTAAGTACTTTCCAGTATCAGGTGTAACATTCAACTGATTAACTGTCCTTGGTATGGTAACAATTGGTATATCGGGCCAACTGCTAATAATGACTGCTGTGGTGGATCTTGCAATTCTTTTTTTCTTTAATACAGATAATGTGAAGGAGTATCTAAGGAAGAAAAATAAAAATTCCAATTAAAAATTTATTCTTATACTGAAGCAGCTACATAATATAATTTAAAGTTTTCTTTTAATCAAATATAAGAAAGAGGGATAGATAACATATAGACAATTATGATCTAATAATCTTCCAAAAGAAAAATTTATTAGAAATTTTGAGTTTCTTGTTGAGTATTGGTATTAGAAACCAAATAAATGAAGGGAAAATAATCTTAAAACAGAATACGTTTTTAACTGCTCTGCTTAATATAAATTATATTTATTGTATGGATGTAATCTCATTCAATATCAAATTACAAATCAATACAAAATAAATATGATTAAAAGCCCAGAAGTAAGGTCATGTAATATGAACACAATTACTATTACTAGTATTCTAGAATCATTATTCAATTTCATACTTACCACATGTTTTTAAACAGTTTACAGTATTTTGTTACAACAAAATGAATGTGTTAAAATTAAACTATAAGCTAATATAGACATGAAAGTCCAATCCAATACACTACAAATCTTTTGACTTAAATAAAATTAGTCATTAATTCAATTTGACCTACTTCTGAGACTGAAGACTAAAAAGAGTAACTATTAGGATAGTTTTTATAATTTTCCAAATTCAGTATAAAAACTTCTATTACACTTATTTCTGTGTATAGCTCCTTCAGTAAAATAATGTATTTAAACGTTGAATCTATTTATTTAATTAATGGTTAAACATATTTATATTGTAAATTATCATTTGAAATTAACTTTGATATTTAATATACTCTTTGGTTACACTGATTTTCATGTAAAATTACTTTCACTTTATTGCACACTTACTCTCCAACATGCAACAGTCCACCTGGAACACAGAAGTGAGGTAGAAATATAGCATCCCTTAAATGCATCTCTAGTCTAATCCTTTTAGACTTTGAAGTTAATGTATGACAACCTGTATATCCAATTGCTTTTTTCTTTCGGCATGTCCAAACATACTCAAGTTTTGCTTCTTTGTCTCCAGGATCGTAAGACATAGATCCATCCACACAAAATGTTTGATTGTAGCCAATTACAAGTTTAGAAGTGTGTGTAATTGCAATCAGAGGAGGTAAAGAAGTTTGAATTTTTATTGAACTGTTGAATAATACTGTACCACGATCTACATATACTGAAACCAAAGGAAAAAAGTAAGAGGCTTAAGTTATGATAGCTATATTTGAAGCTGTATTTACAAACATTTAAAATACTACTTAGAAGTACTAACAACATCTGAATGTTATTTATATGAGTTAAAAGATTGAAATCATTATTATTCATACTCTCTGACAGTTTAAGCAGTATAAAAACAAGAAACAGGTTATTGGAAACACAAAAATAACAACTTAATGACTGGCAGATGAAAGATAAATAATACTTTAAAAAAGATTAGGAAATAACATATCATTAACATATTTCAAAATAAACTAATATTCACATTAGCACTTACTAATAGGTATATATATATATATATATACATTTTTTAATTAAAACAATACAAAAACATGTCCAGACATAAAATGTTCTCTTTTTATCAGATGTCAAGAATTCTTGAGGTTATAAACAAATTTTGCTGTTAATTTTGCAACATTCTAAAGGATAAGTATGTGACATTTTGTAAAAAGAAATATATGGATAAAGAATAACCTGTATTCAAGCATACATTTTACTTACTTTGATCCTAAAATGTAGGAGAGCATGTCCATAACAAGATGAAGCACCTGAGTAAAATATGCACACATTAACAGAGGTTGGGTCTGCTATACTAAAATGATTTTGGTACCTCAACACAGTTATAGTCTACATCATCATATCCACTCATGCTCTATCTCACAACTCCACATTTTGACAACAGCCCTGAAGAGTAGTTCCACATTTAAAGCTGTAATGTTCAGAGCACACCAATCTTCCCTGCTTGCTTTCCATAATCCATCTAGTGTATAAAAACCATGGCTTTCTTAGTGCCCATTTCAAAAGATTGATTGTATAAAAATCCAAAGGTGTTATGTCTGCTGACTTGACTGGTATGTCTTTATATGGAAGAGCACAAATACCAATTTCATTCTCCAGTTGCTTAAGATATGTGACAGTTGAATGGAAGGTATGACTGGAAGCCTTTTATTGAAAAATCACACCCTGATGAACTTGTTTTTAGACTGAGTTCCTTCTTGACCTTAATTATGTTTCATACTGTTGCCTTGCTGGGGCATGTGGAAAGCTTCTGCCACTGACCTTTGAGTTCTTGGATTATCATCTGTTACCATGGTCAAGGTACAACTTGTTGAAGGTTTCTTTTTGGATAGTCCTTGTGCCCCAGATTGACCTATATTCATTTTTTTTCTTGATAAGTTAACAGTAGATTTTCAAGTATCTTGGATAGCTCATTTTAAGCCATCTTTTCAACAACTTTAATAGAATACTTGAAAGTGTTCTAAAAGACTCACCAAGATCCATATCTCAACCAACAAGCTAAAGCTGTTCCATTACTCCTGTTCAATCTTTTCTGACTTTTAAGTTAACACAAACTTTTCATAATACTTGGTTTAGTTTAATGAAAACAAGTACTTATTCACTAATTGAGTGCTACAGCAACAACTGTACAAAGACAAGCAAACTAAGGATTTCAGCACATACATTCAATGTTCCAGAAAAGAAATTAGTTTTATTTCATTCATTATCCAGTTATTTACAACAACCAACCTGTAAGTGTTAACAAGTATGTTTTTCCTCCTTTCATCTCTCCTGGAGAAAGAGACAGAACAGGACCCCAAGGTGCAGGTACTTGGAAGTCAGAACTATTCACACTCCAGAAGTACTGCAATAATTTTACCCAAGTTATCATTTTTGAATTTGTTACATAAATGTACATGCCTTCTTAGCTCATGTTATCCTCAAGAAATAATTTTAAGATAAAGCCATTTCGATACTAAATGGGTGACTTATATTCTTAATATTTTTTGAAATCTCATTAAAAAAAAGCTATAAATAATGGTTAAAAATTAACTGTTTTATTTTGCTCTTGGTAGAATGCACATGTAAGTACTTTTTATTTTTATACTGACATGCAGCTTTATTCCAACAAATGAAAAATTTCGAAACGCGTCGGCCAACTCATCACTAACTACAACTTTTACCCGTTGTTCTAACAACGTTAAGACGGCTTATCGACTTCTTGAGAAGAATTCTAAGAAGAAAGTAAACCTACAGACATCGGTCTTGTTTAACAAAATCTGCATATATTGCGTTTTGCATCCATTATCAAGGCTGAATGTTGTGTGAATTGTGATTACTGTTGGTGGATATTTATAGGTATGGGTAAGCAGGTGGTGGTATCTAGCTCGTGGAAGGCGTTAATTGGTGGAGTGTTGTATTGTGGCTTGGGGGTTTCTCGCCAAGAAGTAGCAGTGTGGGTGCTGTTCCTGTCGATTGTTTGTTGATTATGGGAGTTTGCTGTAGGATTTTTATTGCTTCGTGCATTTGAAGAGTTGTGAAGTCGTTAAATCGGCGGTTTACTTTGGTGTTTTGTACTAGGTCCTGACGTGTGAGTTGTATGTTAACGTACAGGTATTCATTTGTGGCCTGACGTATCGAGTATTTTGCTTGTTCTGAAATGAGAAAACTTCAAAAACGTTTCTTTCATTATTATATATATGTGTGTGTGTTTTCTGAATCATTTGATGTTCGCAACTGGAACACAAACAGTACTTGCACCAAAAACTAAAAACTGCCCTCCAGTAATGAAAGCATGCATTTACAAATAAGGTTGTTAGCATGTTTGTTTGTTTTAGAACAAAGCTACATTCGGCTATCTGCTGAGCCTACCGCAGGAATCGAACCCCGGATGTTAGCGTTGTAAGTCCGTGGCCTTACAAATAAGATTACGGAGCTATGCAGAAGCATTCAATACTCTCTTTAAATTGTTCGTAATTTGAAATATATTGTAATATAAGTATCTGTTGAATAATCGTTGCGTGTTTGATTGGCGGGAATGTTTACGTGGGTTTATAGTTGATGGAGTTTTGGACTGTACAAAATTCAAATCTTATCCCTCTAATATTCTTGCGACTTATTAACGACTCTTTGTTTCGTACTTTCAATACACACTGCGTGTGATATCGTCAATGAAACTCTTAATGGTTGGGTAACCATGCAATGAAATCAATGGTCAGTTAGTGTAGTGTCTCATTAACGAGCTATTCCTCAGATAGGTTCTCATAGATCTTACGTTTCATAGTCTGAATTGGCTTCAGTTATACAGGTAACGTGTCTGATTTGAACTGTCTTCGACAAATTACTTGATTCCAACACCCGGAAGCAGAAAAAGAATTCAAACAATTGTTCTATTTGGTCTAAGGATATGCTATGATGTGTACCTTATTGGAGAGATAAAAACAGCTTGGATCTGATTATCCTAACAAGTCAAATAGTGGAGTAAAAACTGCTACACAACAATAAGAATAAACAGATTAACTTTAGGAAGACATTTTTTTAAAAAAACATAACACAATCTGAAAAATATACAATGTCTTTGTTATAAACACCCTGAGGCATATAACCGTATTATTTCGGTTGTACTTCGTATTCTTTGTTACAACATTAAGATGTTGTTATACAAGTAAGAGTAGTTTTAAAGTAGTTTGTACGTAGTTTAAAGTAATTTGTACGTGGGCAAGCTCTGTTTAAAAGTGTGTAGAGAAATATAGAAATGAAAAATACGACGAAATTGTTAAAATAACATATACTTATCTTTGATCGAAAGGAATAACATTTATGTTATTGGCATTCAAAATCAAACATATCTTTCTTTCATCATACTGTGAACTATAGCATATTTAATGTTAATCCATTTCTTTACACATTGCAATAGTGACATATTAGACTTTTCTGGTTGGCACAACAACAATGTATGCATGCACACACACATTTATTTTCCGTAGTATGTCCTGAAATTTATCAGTCCTTAAAATTTAAGCAAAAGTATTTAACAAGTTAATATTCCGAAATGTGGCGCAAATAAAGGAAGTTTTGTTTTAGAAATGTGTTGTTAACCTTTTTCAATAACTGTTTTTGCGGGTTTTTTTTTCAGATACTAATTATTTTTCCCTCCAAGCCTCGCCATATAAATGTTAAATAGAAATAATCTCTACTTATCTATCAGCAGAGATATGGTAACGTTTCTCCATCCTTTCCTTTCCTTTAGGATTGGACTCAAATTATTCACAGCTACACAAAACAAGGTGCTGTAACCATTATTCCTCATTAAATGTCTCGGGAACTGTGTTTTACCACGTCCATTCCCATGAACTGAAAATAAACAATATTTCTTATAATCGACAAATAGCCTCTAAAGTTCTAAACTGTATAATTACTTCAAATTTATAAACAAGAGGCAGAAGATATGGATAACTTCTACTCGTAATTGTACCTCCTCTGAGAGTTATCCGAAACCTTTATCGTCTATAAACGTATACGCGAGTTCGACTGCCAATATATTAATGTTTTGAGTTACTATAATTGTTTATTTGTTACTTTATTCTAGAGCAAAGCCACATTAGACTATCTGCTTTGTCCGCTGCGGGGAATCGAACCCCGGACTTTAGCGTTGTAAGTCCTTAGATTTACTGCTGTCTCACCGAGGGACAATTAGTATAATAACCTTACACAATCAGGTGTCTCCTTTAAGAATTCATCATCAATCCATGGTGTGAAACGAGTAGTAACGATATATCAATCCATGGTGTGAAACGAGAAGTAACGATATATCAATCCATGGTTTGAAACGAGTAGTAACGATATATCAATCCATGGTGTGAAACGAGTAGTAACGATATATCAATCCATGGTGTGAAACGAGTAGTAACGATATCAGACGACCCCTCCTCTCAACGAAGCTGAAGTTTCTATTTTATTAAAAGGACTAAATTTTGTGCCTCTCGCAATCGACCAGATGGATATTTTAACACGTCACGTCCGAGCTCTGCCAATAACTCCAGCTAGCGATTCTACAAATACCACGCCGTTTGACAACAACACCTGCTCACTAGATACCTTGTAAATGCTTGGAAGATCGAAGTCAAACCTGGACACCTCCAGAAGGATAACTCACAGTTCTTGACGTTTATTAGACATTGCCGAACTGAAATCTACAAAATTAATCTCAAGAAAACAAACATGGGGCTTAATATTTCCAAAAAGTAAAAATATGCTATGTCCACCCTGAACACTCGCAAGGACATTATTAATAATCTAGCCGATAAAGGTGGCGGCATAGTTGCTTGTCGAAAGGACCTTAACATTCGAGGCCTAAACGGTTAGTTAAAGGATCCCACTTTTTACAAATTTCTCCGTGACAATCCACTTCCCAATTTTCAGAAACGAACCAAGTAAACACTGTGGTACTAACCATCAAATTTATGTAAGATTTTATTCAAATGTGTCAGGCCGGCTGGGATATGATAGACATAACAGTAGTCTAGGCGCTACATATATCATCAAATTCCATAAACAACTGCTAGCTAGGGTGTGAGTCAGATTTTTACGTAAGAATTAATAACACAACATTATTTATTTTATTTTAACACCGATTATTTATTTATTATTCTATTTGAATTAAGTTTACTATCATTCACGATGTTCTATTTACAAACTGGAATCCTTAAAT